AGCAGGGGTGATAAAAAGATTAAAATATCCTTTAATTGTTTTTTGAAGCCAAATGGACCGACCAAAGAGATCTGCGACGACTTTACTAGTTATGTCGACGTTTTAGCTCGGACCAAAGTTAGCATCTTATCAAAGAATTGGGAAAAAGATGTGCCCCAGATCAAAACTCTATTGGTATGCTATTTATAAATATTATGATCATACATATTTTTTATTTTATATAAACTCATGTATTTTTTCTATCAATATATGATATAAAATTATTAATCATGCGCTTGTAGGTGACATTTGAGATGCCCAATGATAAATAATTGAAAGAAAAATGGATTAGATATGCTTGGGACATTGGAGGGTTTTCAAGACAACCTCAATTAGTACATTTTCGGAGAACTACTGAGTGAGCTCCCATATGTTGAGGACTACGTCTTTCTTGATGAAGATACTTGGGAGGCTTATGTCGCATCACGTCAACCTCCCGAAATTTTTGTGAGCGAATTTTTTTATTATTGCGGTTAAAAAAATGATTTATTTTTTAACACATTTACATGTAGCATTATAAAGACTACATAATTTAAATATTTTCAGAACTTTATATGTAGATTATATACCATTTATAAGTGTTCTCATAATTTATCTCGGGACTTACGATGGTTTGGAAAAAAATATGGATGAGACATACAAGGTTAGGAAAGAAGTCAGATCCCTCCATTATCTTTTCCCCCATCTCGACACTCTGGCCATGAGAAATGGAAAAGGGCACGTGTGAGGTTAGATGAAAGTTATGTCTCAAATGAGGCTAAAACTATTGGTGACAAGATTGTAATTAACTAGAGATATAAACTTCATTATATTCTTATTGTTTTTCTATAATAGATTTAAGGGGTTTTTTCAATACAAGGCCCGAAAGATAGGTAACTATCAATTCGGGACCTGAAAGATTTTTTTTTTCTCAATTCGGGACCTGAATGTTATAAAACAATCAAATTAAGTCCTACAATTCGGGACCTGAATATTATAATTGTAGGACTTAATTTGATAATTTTATAACATTCAGGTCCCAAATTGAGAAAAAAAAATTTTCAGGCCCCGAATTGATAGTTTACCTATCTTTCGGGCCTTGTATTGAAAAAAACCCTAGATTTAAATATTATTTCTTGTGTTTAGAATTCTTTGGAAGAACAATCCTCCCAGGGAAATTTCAAACCTAGTGGTAGAAATGATATTCTTGCGGTGACAATAGGAAAACCTGAACATTCTGGCCGTGTGAGAAGAGTCAGACAGGACATAGGTATTAAGGCCATTTGGAAGATCAAATCGTCTTGGTACAAATTTAGGAATGAATGATTTCATAGGATGCGTTAGAGGTTATCATAAGTCAAGTAAAAGAGTAAGAGACTCTCCAATTGTGTCGAGCACACAAGGAAGTTTTTCTCCAACTTTGAATGTGCAAAGAGGTGACGTGGAATATGAGTTTTATGTGGAGGACCCCCAATGGCGATTAGTGGCATATGATCGTCTCTACAACTTGGGGCCAACAATGGACAATCGAGAGATGAGTGATGTTGAAGTAAGGTGTGTGGTGTCACGCATTATAGTTGGAGATGCTCGTGTTCTATACCCGACATATGAGGTCGGTTTTGTGAGAGATGCTCAAATCAATTCATTGTTTGGTCTAGAAAGTTAGTGGTGCAAGTTATAAAGATACCTAAAATTCTTATAGGTATATTTTCCAAAAATGTTTTTATAGATATATTTTATATAAATGTTATTGTGGTCTTATGGTTTAATTTTATATATGATGTCAGCTGAGAAAAGCAAATGAATTTGAAACCCAAGATTGATGTGATAAGAGCTATGTGGAATGCGACACTACATTGCAGAACCAGTTCATATACTGTTGGGAGCTATGTCAATAACTCCGTGAACTGGTTTTGTAATGTCAAATGTCACATTCCACATAGCTCTTATCACATCGATCTGGGGCTCGAATTCATTTGCTTTTTTTCGGCTGACATCCTATATAAAATTAAATCATAACACCACAACATCATTTATATTAAATGCATCTATAAGAACATATTTAGGAAATATATCTATAAGAATTTTACTTACCTTTATAACTTGCACCACTAATTTTCTAGGCCAAGCAATGAATTGATTTGGAGCATCTCTCACAAAACCGACCTCATATGTCGGGTATGGAACATGAACATCTCCAACTATAATGTTTGATACCGCAACCCTTACTTCAGAATCATTCAGATGGTGGTGCATGGTTGGCCCCAAGTTGTGAAGGCGGCCATATGCCACTAATAGCCTTTGGGGGTCCTCCACATACTACTCATATTCCATGTCATCTCTATGCACATTCAAATCTGGAGCGCAACTTCCTTTTGTGCTCGGCACTATTGGAGAGTCAGGTGCAGTGCCCGTTTGAGAACCAACCATCATCCTCATCACCTGCTCATTTACTTGACTTATGATAACCTCTAACTCCTGCTGTGAAATTATTCCTACACTTTACCAGGACGATTTAATCGTCCAAATAAGTCTTTAATACCTATGCCCTGTCCGACTCCCCTCATACGGTCAGGATGCTCCGGCTTTCCTATTGCCACCGCAAGAATATCATTTCTACCACTAGGTTTAAAATTTTGTTGGGAGGATTGTTCTTCCAAAGAATCCTACAATGAACACAAGAAATAATATTTAAATCTGTTAGAAAAACATAAAGAATATAATAAAGTTTGTATCTCTAGTTATTTACAATCTTGTCACCAATAGTTTTAGCCTCTTTTGAGACATAACTTCCATCTAACCTCACATGCGACCTTCCATTTCTCATGGCGAGAGGGTGGAGGAGAAAAGAATAATGGAGAAATCTAATGAGGCCTCTTTCCTGGCCTTGTATTTGTCATCCATAATATATATATTTTTTTGTTTTTTCAAAACCATAAGTAAATTATGAGGACGCTTATTCATGAATTGTGTTTCTTTTGCATTTTTTCTCTTCGCCTGTATATATAAATACAATAAATGGTATATAAAATACATTTAGGGTATGTTTGGTCCAAAGGAGGGGAGGGGAGGGGAAGGGAGGGAAAATAATTTATCTTGTTTGGATGGATTTTGTAGGAGGGGAGGTGAAGAAAAATAATTAACCTTATTTGGTTAGAAGATGGAAGGGGAGAGAAAATAATGTTAGAATGACAAATATATCCTTAATGATGTAAGGAGAAAAAAATAAAATAATTCCAGTAAGGTCAAAAAAGTAATTTGTTGTTAAAATTTTCACTTCCCTCCAAATTCCCTCACTTTTGGAGGGGAGCACATTTTCCCTTGGAGGAGGGAATTGACGGGAAAATTCAAACCATCCCCCTTACAGAAACTTAAACCAAACAAGGGGAAAATAAAAATTTCTCTCCCATCCCTTCCCCTCTCCTCCGTTTCCCCCGAACCAAACATAGGCTTAAAGTTCTGATAATATTTATTTGGGCAATGCTACATGTACAATTATTGTTTACAACATTTGTTGACAACAATAGTTAAAAGTATCATTAAGTCAAATTTTATCCATACATTCATTTGCATCTCAACCACCAACATGATGCCACGTCATGTTGTCATTAAATGTTGTACAAAAAAGTTGTACAAATAGCTTTTCCTATTTATTTTATGTAGGCGTTAATAATTCATCATGTAAATATGTCAAAACATAAATTATTTTTTTAACCGACCACACTAATGCAATAATGAAGAAAAATATGTATAATCAGGAAAATTTGGGAGTTTGACGTGATGCGACATAAGCCTACCAAGTATCTTTATCAAGAAATACGTAGTACTCAACATATGGGAGCTCACCCTGTACTTCTCCAAAAATGTACCGATTGAGGCTGGTCTTGAAAACCCTCCAACGTCCCAGAGCATTTCTAAGTCATTTTCCTTTTAATTTTTTTTTCTTTTTTTTTTTTAACTCAGTGGACATCTCAAATGTCTCCTACAAACACATGATATTAATAATTTTATATAATATGTTGATAGAAAATATACATGAGTTTATATGGTAGAAAAAATATGTATAATCATAATATTTATAAATAGGGTACCAATAGAGTTTCCCAACTTTGATCTTTAATTTTTTGTGGCGCATCTTTTTCCCAATTATTTGCTAAGATGCTAACTTTGGTCCGAGCTAAAACGTCGACATAACTAGTAAAGGACATTTTAGATAGGATGCGGTCTTTTTGGTTTTAATCTGATTGTGATTTCCTAGATTGGGTTGCGTATTTGTTATCCGGTTCTAGATAGCCATTAGAAGCTTATGTTGAGTCGGGATTCGATCCAATTTGGGAGGTTGCTTTTGTTGACGACTTGCTTGAGGATTCCGAGTGGCTCAACTTCTGGAGGAGAGGACATCAGTTTATCTATTAGTTTCCTCTTAGTTGTGTGTCTTGTGTGCTTTGCTTCTTTTCTCTCCCTCTAGTTCTAGGAGTGTTTTTTGTATTCAACACTTGTGCGAGTTTTAAGTTTCTCTTATTGGGAGCTTGTTACTTTGTTAGTTAGTTTTGTTTTTGGGCTGCTTGACGCAAGTGCTCTGATCCAGTTTGTTTGGATTGTGATCTCTCGGGACCAGGTGTTTGTTTTGTCTTTATCTATCTATGAGATTATTTATTAGATTATTTATTGTCGTTTCG